TGTGTGTGTGTATATATATTAGGCCCCATTCACACCTGTAAGTTTAGGTGCGATTAGAAATTCTTGCGTCAGGAACTTGTGTTTCCCTGCAGCAAGAATCCCTAATCTGGCATTTACAAGCAGGAACTGTCACCCCATGCAGTTAGAAAACATTCACTCTCCCTGGATGCATGATCAATGCGTCCAGAGATAGTGGTTGATTCCTAACCACATGTAATCATATCACATAAGATTACAAGCGATGTGCCGGCGTTTACATATAGAGGCTGTCACCTGATCATTAACTTGAATATATATTCAAAAAAATATTAGATCTAAATGGATGAGCTGCTATACCAGGTATTACAGCGGTGCCACACATGGGTCCTTGTTATAATAAATTGGGACAGGTGTAGATCTATGAAACACCATAACAAAAATAGCTGCACAAATCTAATGTTACCCTATTGATAAATTCCAAACTCTTACCACTGGTTGTATCGGTCATACTTACCAACCCCAGCTCGCTTAGATGACACAATTCCTGCACTCATTCCATTCTTAAACACAGAAGCCGCTGAAACAACTTTCGAACCAACTTTAAAATGTGTACGCAGGTAACGCTGAATCTCCACAGGTTGCATTTGGGGGATCACATGAATCTTGAATTGGCTGAAAACTGAAGGAATGTAGCAACCCTCTCGATCAGAGTTACATATGATTACAAGATTGTACTTTTCTATGCACTTGGCCTGTAGTTGTTGAAATAGCAGCTCAGACTTATACCCAACATCATAGCTTAGCTGATCTGCATTAATCAAACTATAAATCTTCTTCCCATTGTACCCCGGTGTCAAACATCTATGAAGAAACAAGGCCACCTCTTCAAAGGTGGTATGAGGCGTGCACAGGAGAACTTCATCGTAGGAAGGCAATGGCTCACCAGAGCTGTGCATGTAAACTGATATAGCACAGGACAACATTTCTGATGGAGGACAAATAATCAGATTGGGCCGGCCAGGCTGCAAACTTGGATGAAGGTCACGGACTATCCATTTTTTATTTAGTTCAGCCAGAGCAGCTAAGCTAGTACCCAGGGCATCCAAATCCAGGCAACCTGGGAAGAAAGAGTTCATGTTATCCATAGAGAACTTCCAAACCAGCTCTAGTTTCTTTGAAACATCACTATAGTCTTCAAGTTCCATTGCAAAATCCTTCATATCTGGTTGGTTTACAGCAGTTAGATTAGGAGAAATGGTCTTTGGAAAGCAGAAGTAGTTGGTGTTGCCTATGTTTGCACAGTCAGGTTTAATAAAAGACAACATTACAAGAGCCTCCTCACTGATTTCCCTCATCTGATACTGCTGGCACAGGTATACCAGCTGCTCTGCTGTGTAGTAGTTTAGGTAGTATAGCTTGGATCTCTTCTTGTTGACAAAGGCCAGCCACTCTTCCAACAATCTCTCCATGGTTTTGCAGATGTTTGGAAGCAAATCGGTAAGAGCTTCTTGTCCTTGAAGTTCATCAATTCCCTCAACATCAAAGTTCATCAGAACACTGACTGTAGCATTATCTGCACAGTGGATCACTGCCTCCCACGTTCTAAACAGCATATTTCCAGCCAGATAGAGGTCAATAAAAGAGCCAGCCAGCCTCTGAACATTAGAAAATATCTGGATAAAAAAAGACATGGTTTCAAATCAATGCTGTATTAAATGTACTTAAAGTAGTATTAAATATGCAAACTTTGTTTCCAATAATGAATCCAGATCAAACAAATATACACTCCCCCAGAAAGTATTTCTTTAAATGTTTTGCCCCGTAATTTACAGTCGTCATGTTGCTGAACAGCTGGCTCCAACTCTCTCAGCTCTGCTCCCCCTGTCCAATGCAGGATCCCAAGGGGCAGCACTGTCTCTAGCAACTGTCCATCTACTAGCTTGAAGAAGGGTGGAAGGGAAGAAGAAGGAAGGTAGAAGACGGAAAGGGGAAAAGGGAGGAGTGAGAGGCTTGCACTGCTGTGCCTCTGTGTTTGTGAAAACACACACAGCTTTCTAGCACACAAAATGATGGCTCCATAGGACCCTGGAAGGGAAAGGAACCAACCAAAACAGGATAACAGGGCCAGTGCTCAGGGGACCAGATGATTCTTCGAAAAGCTAAAATTTTTAAACATCAAGGAGCAGCATCCATTGTAAGTGATTTATTCAGCATTTGTAATAGCTTAAAAATCTTTTGAATTTATTATCATCTAAATCATCTTATTTCTCTATGTTCAGGTTTACACCATTGTGGTGAATTAATATAACTTTTTAATAGGATTTACGTTGCATGTTTATGCACATTGCATTACGGCAGTCCATTTATTTTAAACAGTACAGTACACTTAAAACTGCCCCTGACCCTTGTTTAGCATCATAGTGCACCACAATGCATGATAGTGCATCACATGTGTGTCTCTTTAGTGCCTTTTGGCTAGAGAATAAATTAAACCACATGGCAACCAATAGAAGTGATCACTGGAAGTTTGTCTAACTTCCCCAGCTGCAGCTTGCACTGTCTTTCTCGCTCTCTGTGCACTTGTTGTTCAAAGTTGACTTTTACCCATATCTTTAAAAGAACAACAAACACACCTTTAGAAATATTTAGTAATGACAATCTACAAGCACATACTTCTAGATAACTGCCGGCTTTGTATTCTTTGCATACCGTATTTCTCTTTTCCTCCCCAGTCTTCTGACAGTGGCCATGTTTGCTAAGGGCAGATTATTAGCTCTCCTTTTACTATCTTGATTTCTGGCACATGTGACTAGGACATGTGACCATGTACATCATCCCAGGGGAGGAAAATGCCTTTCCCTGAGATCTCGATTACATATGAGATTTCCCAGCAATGCTCTGCTGATGACAAGGCAATCCCAGTGTGCATTGTTTTGGCAAACTGATGTCATTTTTCTCTTTCAAAGCAGGAAGTGAATGTTCTGAAAGTGTGAACATTTCAATACCACAGCATTTTACACATTGGTAGAATTTAATTTTTGAGTGTAAAAGTCCACTTTAAGAAAGAGATACAGTGTAAGCAGGAAAGTCTTATGTGAAAAGTCCAAGTCCTTAAAAAACTATTCAAAAATAGTGTTGGTAAGCAAATGAATCACAGAGTCATTGTTATGCTAAATAAGCCATACTGAACCTTCAAAGTTTGGCATAGGTATCTAGGCTTCAATGACATCTAGTTATGAAGGGGTTTACAGAAAATCTATTGTGAGGGAAGTGTGTAGGCTGATGACCAATAATGTGTGAAAAGGTGATTTTAGGGGTGGCAATAATGAGGTAAGAGGTCCCCAAACCTAATGAGGAAAGGAGGGATTCTTTTCTGCCAAGTCAGCTAAAGATGATTACATTTAAAAAAAAAAAAAAATCTTGTGTATCACATTCCACATGGTAGACCTCCTGAATTCCATTACAATGAGCCCAGACAGATTAAAATAGGCAGCCAACTCCTTTAGTAGAGACCATTGTGCTAATCACATGGCTGCTGGTGTGCATTGACAGACATAGTGCTGATGCACATTGCACTGTTTACTTTTTTGTTTGTAGGACTTTACTGAAATGTCACGACTGACATTTCATTAGGTTCTATCAGCATAGTATGGTGCTCAGCATGGTATAGCATGCCATACTTTTTTCCAGCTCACACCTATTCACTTCTGGCTTGTATGGCTATTCTGCTCGGTGGTATAGAGCAGAACAGAAAATAAGTGCAAATAATGTAAAAAAAAAAAAAAAAAAGAAGTTTGCAAAATGATTTAAAAAAATGATTAAAAAATAGGAAGATTAAGAAAAAAAAAATGTAAGAAAAAAAAACAATTGGGCGGAGCTAGCAGTGACAGCTAGCTCCACCAAACTGTTTCCTATTGGCCAGCACCTGCCAGAGTACTATAGCAGATCCCGGCCAATGAATAACAACTGGGCAGGGCTGGCCTTGACGTCACGGTTGGCTCCGCCCAGTTGTTATTGTTTAATAACAGATCAGTGTCCCCAGGTCATTTGGGGATGCTGATCTGTCATTACAACTGGGCGGAGCAAGCCGTGAGATCATGGCTGGCTCTGTCCAGCTGTCATTTTTGGAAAGAACGGCCAGCCCTTTGGCAGGCCGTTCTCCCCGCTACGGGTGTCACTTCGGCTCCGTACGGGCTATTGTGAATAGCCCGTATAGCAGCCTGTAAGCGGGTTTAGGGTGTGGCGGCTTCACAGAGGGAATCACACGGAATTGACTTTTAACAAGATAACGTTTATTACCGGAGGGCTGGTAGTATGAAGAATATTTACAATAGTAAAGCAAACAGTTTCACTCCAGGCATTGGAGACACCGGTACACAGTACAGTCACTTCAGATGTAAGCGGTAGTGGGATCCGTTAGCACCCTAGACACGTCCCACTGACTGGCACAGTCTAAACCCAAGCACACAATACGTATCTGTAAGGCTGATAGCACTCTACCCGGAAGCAGCGATATTCGTTCCGTACAGGGAGATAGGAGTCTGGTACACTCTTCCCGCACTCACAGCGGAGACACTGGTTTGGTTATAAACAACTGGGAGTCTTTTCATCCGACCTGGATTACCGATACAGGCCTCCGTAGGAACACTGAACTATCCCTCACAGGCTGGAACACTCTCCCTGCACTTTCCTAACTCTCCCTCACGAGCGGGTCTCTGTCCCTGTCTACATCCACACGTGTTCTGACTACATACGTGGTTGTGTTTCCTATATAAGATAACCACCCCATAATGGCCGACCAAATCTCCCGAGATTTCCTGTCCAATCAGGACACCAGGCTTTTCCAAAATGGTGCTGGAGACAATTGTAGAGGCTAAACAGTGCTGAACATATTTACATATAAACATATCAAAATCGCTGAAAGTAGTTATTTACACTTATTAACCCACTTTATCCTGCAGCCAGCTAGGCTGCCCTGTCACTGGCAACTGCCTACAAGCCCTTCAGTTCGACTGACCCAAACTGAAGGTGGCCGAAGAGAGCCGAAGGATCAGCCAAAGGTATGGCTGGATCCTTTAGCTCTTTAGTGAATAACCCCCTTTGATGAGGAAATCTTGTAGTTTTCACTTTTATTACCATTTTTTATGCATATGCAGTATGCATATTTCTGTGTACATATGTTGCCATCTCGGTTGAGCTGGATATAATAGAACTTTATGTTACTGAAAACTTTACCATTAATACAGGAAGCAGCCACACGCATGTTACACAATAAATCATAAGCATTTGTATTAATGCTCATGGAGAACTAATTAACATTCTTAAATACCGTGTTTCCCCGAAAATAAGACACTGTATTATATTTTTTTTGCCCCCAAAAACCACACTAGGTCTTATTTTCAGGGGATGTCTTTTTTTTTTTTAATGTGCAACAAAATTTACAACAATCTAAAGTTATTCATGTACAACAATCCAAAGTTATCTGGTATCACTCCGCCTGTCACAGTAACTGGGGCTATAGAGGAATATCGGCTAATGTGGCTCTGCTCCCTCCGCAGCTGCAGCCTTGGTTTCAACAGCGCCGGCTTCCTTTGCCACCAGGGACAGTGGTACCAGCGTTGCAGCAGTGGGGACATCAGACAGTGGACAGCGCGGTAAAGTACGGTACCATTTACCGGTACACATTACAGTACAGTACCATTACATTAAGCAGTGCCTTCAGGGGGACAGCAGTTGGTGAAGTATGGTACTGGAGTGCTCCCTGTCACTGCGCTGTCTAGAGGGAGTCTCCTGTCATCCCCTTAATACAGTATGTCGCCGCAGGCTGATACCATGTCTCCTGCAAGTTCCCCCTCATATGCTACCACCAAACTAGGTCTTATTTTCGGGGTAGGTCTTCTATTACAGGAATCTTGAAAAATAGTGCTAGGTCTTACTTTCGGGGTAGGTCTTATTTTCGGGGAAACAGGGTACTCAACCAAGACAGCAGGAGGTGATCAGTCGGAGAATGAAAAGCAAGTGGACACATTTAATGACGAGTAGCAGATGAGAGAGAACCCATGACGCATAAATAGAAATTACTTTGTGGCCATTGTATAGCAGTTATTTACCAAGCTAAGTACATTTGATTTAAAGCTCACCTATACCTATAGGCATTAAATTATTTCCATATTATAAACAATTAGCAAAAGTGCTTTAAAACAATCCATTCCTTGCCTCTCTAGCTGCAAGTACTTTGAAGTAATTAATTCTCAAAGATCACAACAAAGACTCTGAAGTCTGGTTTCAGTCTGATTCTATGAGGTTACAGCACCCTCTGTGTGTTTACATTAATAGGCTGGTAGACTGTCAAGAACCTTAAGCAATTTAAAGTAATAGGAAAGGAGATAACCTCTGTTGTGAACTTTGAAGATGAATTTCTCCACAATGCCTACACTTCATTTACTAGCACAGAAAAGGGTGAAGGGAGAAGACAGGAGCAGGGATCAGGGGAGTGGCTTGCCTTGCTATGTCTGTGTTTGAAGAGATACACAAAGCTTACTAGGACATACAAACCCTAAACAAAGATATCAGGGCAGGGCTCAGGACCAGCTGATTCAGTAATAACTAAAACTTTAAAACATCAAAGAGCAGCATCTATTTAAGTGATTTAATCAGCTTTTAAAATAGCTTAAAAACGTTTGACTTTAATATTATTTTAAAGTGTTTTTACTGCTGGTTCAGAATATCTCAATACTTTAGTGTGATTATACAGTGTATATTTAGCTCGTTCCTTCATGATCTCAATTTCTTCAAAAGTCAAAGTAACATTTCCACAGGCTCCCGCAGTCCTAAATGACTGGGCAGCACTGTACATTCCATTAAATAATAACTCTCAAGTATTTCACTCAGCTTATATCAATCCATGTAGTTTTTACCTCCGAAAACCTGTCAACTTCCACATTGCCTTGTTCTCCCTTGCTTGACATTAGCATAAGTTTGTTAAGCAGTTCCTTCAGCTCCTCTAGTGTGTACCAACGATTGTTCTCCTTATTCTCTGGTAGAACCAGGTTCAATACATTGTCAGGTGAAATCTGTGGAAAATTCATAGATAAAGGATACAACCATAACTATTCCTAAAAAGTTAATTATCTCAAGCAAGAAGAAGCTGTAGTCCCCCAAGTAATTTATGAGTTAAAGATGCTTGGCTGGTTCTTTTTTACCACTGGTTTACTTATAAAAGAAGGTCAGCAATAAGAAGCATCTATACTTACTATTCCGGCAGCCCATGTCTTGAAACACCACTGCTTCACTGCTCTGCCGCCTCAGCAGGTATTCTACAATTGCAACTGTGTGAATACCTGCTCCTCCTGCCACATGCAGTTCCTCTTGCAGGCCCATATGTCAGTTCAGTACATACGAGCCATTGGGAGGATCATTATACAGATGTTCCTCACTTACCGACTTACCTGTTTTGCGACCACTCGCACTTACGACGGACCGCCGATCGACCTCCGACCTTCCGCGTCAGCGTCAGTGCGACGGGTCGCCGGCGGAAGTGACATCCCCCGATCTTCACTGCAGGTCTCGGTAAGTATTTCCATTGCCGGATGTACAGTACACTGTTCGGTACTGTACATCGGCAACGCTATACAGTACTGTACTAATGCAGTATAGTACTGTATAGAGTTCCTCACTTAACGACCAATCCGTTTAACGACCTGGTCGTAGGAACGGAACTCGGTCGTTAAGTGAGGAATACCTGTACTGTAAGCCTAAGTAATGATCTCACTCTCTAGAAGCATTTCCTGCTAAACAAAAAGTTTATTACGGCTCTAAACAACCTTAATGCACAGGAATTACCTTCTTCTTGCCCTTGGGTGCTCTGATGATATAGATCCCCTTTTTGTTGATAGCTGTTGCCAGGGACAGAGATGACAATTCAACTGAACCATGACTCTCTTTTACAGTCTTCAGCCATTCTATATGACGAGCAGAGTCTCTCTAAAATTATATACAATTAAAAAAAGACAGAATGTGTTAAAAGTTTCAATGAATAAAAACAAACCTATACAAAGAAAACCAGCTATACTTTTCCATTTTGTTATCAAGGCGACACTCTAGTTTTTCCCATTCATGACAAAGTAAGATGGTGCCTGAATACACCGGCCTGAGGCCGATGCATGCACTGCCAGCCATAACTCAGTGCAGATCCCTCTCTGGCACTTCCTTGCCCCACCTACCCACGCTGTGGTTTTGCTCCTCTCTCCTGACATGCAGAGCATGTCTGTATAGGAAGTGACAGGCTCCTAATGGGTCACACAACGCTCTGCATCTCTGAGAGGTAGCCATTGGCTCCTCCCACAAGCCGGAGGTCGCGGTGGTGACATGAAGCTCTCTGGGGCCTGGGACAGCAGCAAGTGGTGACGCAAGGTTGGTGCGAATTTCCCACAGAGTTGACAACATGTCCGAACTAGCAGGGCCGGCCTTAGGCCTTTAGGTGCCCTGGGCGAGAAAGCTTTGCAGTGCCCCTCAGTTACCACACCCCTCAGTAACCACACCCTACAGTGGCTACACCCATGAATCCAATATCCACACCCTTCAAAGACTCCCATTTTGTTAAGCCCCAAAGAAGAATATTAAAAAGTATGATAACAATAAAACTTTTGTTCAAAGCTATTAAACTTGTAGGCACAATATAGGTATTCTTATTAAATAAAACAACAGTAGGCAAATAAGTGATAAACAATAAATCTCAAACTAAAATAGAGTCTATAAAAATAAAGTGCCAGGGTGTCATGCCGACCCTTTTTTCAACTAAGTGTTTCTAGAAAAGTAAAAATAAAAAACAGAACATAAAACCTAGACTACATGTTAAATTAGTGAATTACTATTGCCCGAATATAGGAAAAATTTATTCGGGCACATAATGATTTGTTGGAGAATGCTCGGCGGCCATGTTGGCCACCGGCGCGTTCTGCGAATGCGTGCCACCATCTTAGGTGACGTCACATGCCGCAATAGGCACCGCCATTTTGGTGTATACCTAGATATACACCAAGATGGCCGCGCCCAACGCGTGCAGTGTCATATGACGTTATGCGCCCTGCCCCAAGAACACGCCAATGGCTGAATCCAAAATAGCATGAAAATTTGTTTTGTTTGATGAAACGAATGAAAACATTTTTCGTTTTCGTTCATTTCATCTGAAATTAATTTTTAGTCTTTGCACATGTCTAATAATACGTGTGTGTGTGGGGGGGGGGGATAATTTTCACTTTTTTTAAATAATTTTTTACATTTGTTATTATTATTATTTTTATTATTCTTTATTTTGATTTGTTTATTTTTTTTTACTGTTGGGGAGGCTCTGGTGAAATATCTGGGGTCTAAACAGACCCCTGACATTTACCTTCTAAAATAGAAAAAGAATTTAAGGGACACAGAGTCCTCAATTTCATTTTCTGCAGCCTCAGCACTCAATGAATGGGAAGCACTCACTATAGAGGCTTCTCCCCATTCATTCAGAAACTGATGATAGTAAATATTTTACTATCACCAGTTTCTGAATGGGGAGAAGCCTCTATAGTGAGTGCTACTCTGGCAGATATTCTTGTTCTATGGTTACTCCTATTTACCTCTGATGTGACCTTTTTATAGACCAGTAAACAACCAGTGGGCTGACCAGGACTAAATTCCAAATGCCACATAAAAGAGGCCCCATGAATCAGAGCTAGCCAAGCCCAAATATGATCAGTCCCATGGCTAAGGATAACAATTGCAAGTAGAAAGAAATGCATTGCATAGGGTATTTTCAGTGAGCACATATTTAGATGTACTTTTGCAGTGTTTACATTAAAGCAGTGGTTCTCAACCTGTGTAACCTCAGGGCCCACATTTGTCCTTGGCCATTAAGTCACAACCCAAGCTGCACTGCAATGGAACACACGGCATTAGTGTACCGCGATTTTGGGTGCGGTTGTACAAACTGTGGATGGGAGGTGCATTTGGGGTACAATTCAGATGAATGGCAATGCAACACACCTCCCACACCAGAATGCACGGTAGGTGCAATTGCGTGGTATAGTTTAATGCACTGTACTAGTGTGAAAGGGCCCTCTAAAACACTGACATACATACACAGACACAATCTCACACACTCACAGACATTCACACTTGCACACTCCACACACACTTTTTTTTTTTTAAAGGTCAACCCAGTCTCCCTACCTTATGATAACTGGAGTGGATCCTCAGCGTGGGGTCCAATGTGAGCTGTTGTGTTGTGTTGGAGCTCCATCCATATGTGCATTGCTTCTACAGCTCCCTTCCATGCCCCGTAGAGGGGCCGGGAGTCAAAATCTGACGTCACTCCGGTCCAGGCACTTCTACAGGACACGTGCGGGAGCTGTAAGCATTGCACATATGGATGGAGCTCCCTCGCGGCCATAGCCCCAGCCTACCCAACCGAAAGACACTCGGCACCGGGCAGCATATTTTGAATGGCTGGTTGGCGCAACAACTGACAGTGCTGCGCTAGGAGGCAGAGGAGCCTCTCACCAAGAAAAGTGGAAGGCATGCCGCTACCCACTGAACACAGGGTCGCGACCCACTTTTCGGTCACGACCCACCAGTTGAGAACCAAGGCATTAAAGTATCTTTTCGTGTAACCTTCACATTTCACTTGAGATTGCTCTTTTATATTCTTGTACCTGTTTTAAATGTAGAGATTTGTAGAACAACCAATAGGAGGTAGATTAGATTGGCTACTGCAATGACTCTTTCTAACTGCTCAGCAGCCAGTTAAAAAAAATAATGGCCACATAGGAAGTGCATTGGGTTTCATGGGTCAGCAGAATCAGAGACTCACATGTTGAGAAGCAGCAGTAAAGCACAACAATGGTGTAGCACTATATACCAGGAAGCAAGGCCTATGTTTGTTTCTAAATGTGCAAATATGGCTTCCCCCCTGAATACATAAAATTACAAACTATGCACTGAAACAGTGTTTTTAAAAACATTAAAGGAGAACTATGAGGTGAGTGCTTTTCACTCACCTCATAGTTCTAGCCGACCTGTGACAATGAGACTGTCACAGGTCAGCTCAGTAGATCGGGAGGTGAGCGAACACATACCGGGTTCACTCACCTCTCGATCCTGTCACGGCTCTCTGCAGTGACAGGGGAGGGGCTGGATTCCCCTCTCCCCGCTCCGATCTGCCAGCACAGACTGGCGGAACGGATGGGGGAGGGGACGGGTACAGCTGGCTCTGCCTCTAGATAGGCAGAGCCAGCTGTCAGTCACGCAGCTGGGCGGATCCCAGCACAATTGTCGGGATCCGCTTCAGCTGCGGCGTCTCAGTATACCGCGAGCTGTAGTTGCGGTACACAGAGCTTAGGGTGATGGGAGGACGCTAGTTTGTGTCCTCCGTTACCCTAAGGAGAACTATGGGGAAAAGCCCTGACCCCATAGTTCTCCTTTAACACACTGATAATGGTATTTACACCCTAATCTCTAATTAGTATAAATCTAAGAAAACATTGATAGGACAACACATTCCCTTTAATGTGATAAAATATGCTCAGTTGACTTACCAACTTTTCTGGAAGTTTCGGGTCACTTTGTAGGGCTTTCCATAATTTCTCCAGGCATTGCATGAAGCTGTCAAACCCAAACTCACGCTTCAGGTCATAAAACAATGGTGAATACCCCAGCACTGCGTCATGAAAGCAGGCAACACGGTCCACATCCATATCGTTCTCTCCAGCAGAAATGGAGGCCAAGTCAACAAACACTTTCAGCTCATTGACATCTAAATGAGAAATAATAATCTATTAGAAAAATCAATAAACTTGTTATTTTTAGATATATCAGCTTAAATACAACAAACTTATTTATGCCTAGTATCGATTTTAAAGCCCTCCGAAAATGTCACACTTTTTTCTCCTTGTCGTCCTTTCTCACAATGTTATGATTTTTGCCTATTTTTGAATGCAAATGCCTTGAAATTCAATCTCTCATAGTGGAAATGCACTTCCTTCCCTTCCACTCCAGTATTCTGTACTGGCATAGGTGAGTACCAGCCATACCCCTCATCACGTGTCCTCTCACATTTCTGCAGTGGTGAAAAAGGGAGGGCAGACTGCACAGTCATATTAGGACGTGCAACTGCTATTGCAAGCAAGTGGAGGTAAGACTAAGAAACTGGAGGTTGTTGGAGCAGTGTCTGTCTTACTGAATATATATTTCAGTAACTTCTGTAAGTACTGTCTGTAAGCAGGGATAGTTATATGTGCTTGACAGATATGCAGGTCACCATATTAAAGCACAGTTACTGTACTTACAATTCTGCTTATCTCACTGAATCCTTGCAGGTAAGCCAAGAACAAAAAGCAGTGTTGCTGCTAGACACAGGCATCTCTGGAATATGCCTCTAGTCTCCTAGGAAGTGGCTGGACACTCCAAATTTCATAATTCTCATTGGCCGTAAAGCCAGAGCATTATTAATATGTTTGGACTTTACAAGACAGTGTAGCTATCTCCCTGCAGTGACCACACGTAGCAGTAATGTTAAATACCTGTTCACCAATCAAACTGCAAGTCAGCATGACTGATGAAAATTCATGAACTTTATGTCACGTGACAAAGTCACAAGAGCAGATTGGATTGGACACCTTGAATTCAGTTGAAGCAGAGCTTTAAGAGAGACATCAGTGACAGATCAAGATTACTACTATGATCATTTATGTTTTTTAATGTCAGTTTAAATGTTCTTATTTTTAGAGTTTTTTGAGTTCTTTATTTTGCAACATGTACAACTGTTTTAATTAAATGTCACTATGTTTGCCTGATGAAGGGACGTATGTCTGTTTTGAAGTGTCGCTGTCCACTAATGTCGCCATGTTATTTAACGCCTGAATAAAGCCATTTACACACTGAACCTTGGAGTGCGGGTGACTTCTTTTGTAATGTTTTGCTTGTAGTAGTAATTTACCTTATTCCTTGTTTCTCCAGCAGCTGGCATTATTCCCCGTTTTCTGACATTCTGGGATGTGGGATGGGCCCTTAATGTCCTTACATACAATGCCTGACCACTAGTTCTGCATTGTATGTAATGACGTTGGATAGCCCATGACTGGGCAAGCAGTGAAGAGACATGGCTTCGGGAACGAGTCATAAGATAGAATGGAAGTCTGCGGGAGTGAGGAATAAGGTAAGTATTTCCATTTATTCCTCTACCACTAGAAATTAGCATGTTACCCTTACAGTATGGGAGGAGGAACTAGTCCCTTCCACACATCAAACCACAGAGCATCCACTCTCACCCAAGACCTGATTTCAAATTCCGTGGAAATCTATAACATTTTTGTATTTTCTTGATGGCTGCCTGGATGATTTACTGTTTCTCTGGATTCTTTAAATACAGTAAAGGATTGAAATGTCGCCCGGTGGTGAGTCTTGCTCATCTTTTTTCTCTCCTCTTTTTTGTTCTTTTCATTGCTTTCATTATTTCCTTCTCTTTCCCCCCCCCCCACACACTCCCATTGGTCCTCATTGTCCCACTATGTGCTGACTGATTTGGTGGTGGCTATTTTTGGTTTTTCCTCTCGTAGTTCTCTTATGTAATCTCATTAGCGATTTTTCGCCCCTTTTCTTTTTGTGGGATTGTACCCCGTTTACACTAGATTTTGCTCTTATGTCAAATAGGGGAGAGATATGCTGGCTTATTGGTTGCATATGGATGTTTTCTATTGATGAAGTCCTGAATAATGCCATGCCTCTCTATATTATGTATCTTATTGTATTTGTCACGCTTACATTTATTTTCTACTGGAGGTACTGTTGGATGTTGTTTTTGTCACTCTGTTAAAACTCGAATAAATCTTTTGTAAAAGAAGTGTGGAAATCAGGAATTCTGACTTCACTTGCTATACAGTTATTTAGAGGGTTATTCACTAAATAGCCGAAGGATCCAGCCGTAGCTTCGGCTGATCCTTCAGCTCTCTTTGGCTGTACAGTCCAACAGAAGGGCTGCTGTACAGGCTATTCACAATAGCTCATACAGCAGCCAAAGGGGGCTGAGCAGCTCAGCTGAGCCAAAGGCATATGCTTCGGCTCAAAAGAGCCGAAGTGACAGCTGAAGCGGGGCAAGTGACAGCTGAGTGGAGCCAGCCATGATCTCACGACCGGCTTCGCCGAGTTGTATTGACAAATCAGCGTCCCCAAATGACCTGGGGACGCTGATCTGTCATTAAACAATAACAGTTGTTTTTTTTTTGGCCGGCACCTGCTAGAAGACTCTAGCAGGTGCCGGCCAATAGGAAACAGTTGGGGGGGCTGGCTGTCACTGCTAGCTCCGCCCAATTGTTTTTTTATATTTTTTTAAATATCTTTATTGAATTTTTTAATATTTATATTTAATTAAAATATTTTTAGTCCTTTTAATTTTTTTTTTTACTCTTTTCACTGATTTTCTAATCTGCTCTGTACCACGGAGGTACCAGAATAGTGAGGCGGCATTCGGCTATTCACTCACTGCCATTTGGCCCCTATGAGAATAGGGGCGAACGGCAGCGAGTGAGTTGCTGAAGCTTCGGCTCAGCTGATCCAGATGTTGGATCTGCTGAGTCTATGTCCCTCTGCACTTCGGCTCAGCTGAAAATGCAAAGCATGTTCGGCTGACCGAAGGCAGCGGATGTACAGCTGATTTCAGCCGTACTGAGCCGGAGTGAATAGCCGAACAGCGTGGGCTCTGTTCACTTCGGTTCGGATTATTCACTCGGCTGCCTTCGGCAGCTTAGTGCATAACCCTTTAGTGTCACTGACTCAAATAACTGCAGCAAAAAAACTGCCAGAGATATCTTATTTTTTTTAAAAACATGAAAACTATCTTATGAGCTTTTCATAATCCCGTGCACGCCAGGATGCAGAATAAAAGCAGGAATGCCAACACTGGTAAGACTTTAAAGCAATGAAAAGTTCTGTCAATTACATGCTTGCGAACTTGCTCACAGGAGGGAAAAACAAAAGGATCACCATATCAGCATGTTAGTTTGCAATGGTAACCAAAGAAAACAGAAGTTGGGAAGCCCTTTTACTTGCAGTCATCTTTTAAATGTAAACATGGAACCATTACAATATTATGTGTGAGTGTATTCTATTGAATCTATGCCGGACATACCTGTCAATGCTTCTTTCACCCAGAGAATAAACTCTTTTCTTTTCAAGACCTCCTTAAGACATGCAATGTGATTTTCATTAACTTTCGACAACACTTGTTTGGTTTTCATTACTTCTGCGCTTATACAAGATAGAGACTTTTGCTTATAGTTCTCAAACTCATCAGCCTACAAGGAAAGTTAAAAAAAAACAGCAAGTAATTATACTGAAGGGTAACTCCACCTTATGATATTTCAGACTATGTTGGATGTTTTCAGTTTGAATCATCCACCAGCTTTCTATAGATCTTCAAGATTTCAGGAATGCAACATTTGTTGAGCTCAGTCAAATTGTATATCAAGTGTCTATAAGCATACAAAGCGCAAGCATGTATGCTACATTTTTAAGTTGCTTTACACAAAAATTAAAATGCAATACAAATTTTAAGTCTAAAATTTTAAGTATCTTTTTAAACAATCCTAAAAATAAAGAATTTCCTGGTTTTCTGGTTGAAAGTTCCTGTTGGAATGACTAATGGTGCCTAACAAATAGAAACACCCAGGTTTCCCACTATACATGACCAAATAATTATACCTAACACTTGCTCCTGCATCCCCCTTTCAGCAGATATACCTGGGGATACTGAACCGTCTACTTCTGATCAATAGTTTTTGGGACTGGCAACTTAGTGTTTCTTTTAATATAGAGCTGGAGCTGCCAGCACAAGTGTGAGGTTTGCATATTGCAAAGGAGATGAGTATACAGGACAAGGGATTCGTTTTAGGATTTTGTTTAGTGGTTATATAAGGTTAGGGGTATGGCCAGGGATCAGGGGACTTCGTTTAAAGTGACACCAAACTCAGGAGTTAAATCTTAAAAATGCATTCAAGTACCATAATTATTAACAAAAATGTATCTTATTTGTGTATGATTCGGCTGTAGATCCTCAAATCATCTCTGAATTGGTGCTGACATTGTCCTTCCTTGTGGAGCATGGCTACTTTTGTTCCCCATGGTTCCTGTGTGTGCTCTAACATAGCCACCACCACTCCAGTGATTGACTGTAACTTTAATACAAATTAGTAAAAACTATGTGAGATTGAAGTACATCACGGACTTGGAGTGGTGACCACTGTCACTTTAAGTTTAGGAGTTAAAGTGACATTAAAGTCAAAAAATGTTTCCCTCCCCCCAATGTTAATGTCAGCACTTACCTTAAATGATGTCTATTAATCCGATCTTCTTCTTCTTTCCTGATGTTTTCATCTGTCCCTCCAGCGGTGCGGCAGCTCTCCGATCCAGTGCTGACTCTTCTTTCCTTGCTGGCACTTCCGATCCCGGGGTGTCTGCATGCGGGTGCACGCGTCCATAGACTTACCTTGCGTCTCTGCTCGTCTCCAGGCTGAAAATCCGAACTGCGCATTCGCCCGCCCCAAGATGCTTTGCGGCCGCCTGATAAATTTTCAGATGTTCGGACGGTAGCGCGCTGCGGAGACACAGGTAAGTATTGCTAGTACTTGCTAGCAGTAGATCTATGCAAAAATGTTATAGATCTATGCACAGTTCAGATGTTCGGCCAGGAGACGAGGAGAGACACAAGGTAAGTCTATGGACTAGCGTGCACCCGCACAGACTCCGTTAGACATCAGAGAAGAGGAGGACAGAGGAGTCAGTACTGGATTGGAAGGTTCAAAAAATGTCACCAGCACGCAATTTCAACATAAAGCAATACAGGTGAAACTCGAATAATTAGAATATCGTGCAAAAGTTCATTTATTTCACTAATGCAACTTAAAAGGTGAAACTTATATATGAGATAGACTCATTACATGCAAAGCAAGATAGTTCAAGCCGTGATTTGTCATAATTGTGTTTAATGACACATAGATGTCATTAAAATACAAATGGTTTCGGGGCCTCACATGGCCCCCATCCTCAGGCTCAGCAATAGGGTTTTAATGACACATAGATGCCAATAGGGTTTTAATGACACATAGATGTCATTCAAATACAAACGTTTCCGGGGCATCACAGGGTCCCCGTCCTCAGGTTCAGCTCAGCTTAAGGACGGGGACCCTGTGAGACCCCGAAAACATTTGCATATTACATCTATGTGTCATTAAAACCCTATTGCTTTATGTTGAAATTGCGTGCTACTGACATTTTTTTAACCTCGTGATATTACAGGGTGCCATCCGTGGTCACTTCAAGCACCCGCCTGGTGTACAGGTGTAGCATCTTTCCATTTGGTAAGGAGTGCAACAGGACACTTTTTCATAGTACTGGATTGGAGACCCGCACCAGCGCTGGAGGTACAGCTAAAAACTACAGGAACGAAGATGATCGGATTAAGAGGCATCATTTAAGGTAAGTCCTTACATTAACACTGTGTGTGTGGAGGGGTGGGGGGCACACACTTTTGCCCTTAATGTCACTTTAACCAAATTGTTGATAAAAAATCTCAGTGACCTTCCTACTGCCATTGATCTCAACATACATGTCTAAATCATAAACAGGTAGCTTGAGAGCTGTCGGCTTAGTCAGTACATTACTAGAGAGTTAGGTCAGGGAGAGGGGGGAGATGTGCCAGCAGCACAGGGAATTAACTTTTAACATTAAATTATTATTACACTTTTTTTCAATAACAAATCCAAATTAAACAAATACAGTATACATTGTCCAGCAAGATATTTCTTTTATATTTTTGCCCAAGCACTTACAATCATCATGTTATCAAACAGCTGCCAACAACTCTCATAGCTACACTGAAATTTCTGTCCAGTACAAGATCACAAGGGACAGAGCAGTCTCTGGCAGCTGTCCATCTACTACACTGGTCCCTAAATGGCGGACCGCGGTCCGGACACATACCGAGTAGCTGTTTTATCTGGACCGCAATTGCTGACCTGCGCTGACAGCCAGCCATAACCCAGTGCGGATCCTCACTCCTCCTCAGTTATTGGTTTCTAGGACCCTGGGGTTAGCAAAAAATTAAATCATCTATGTTCCCCACCCAGCATTAAGGGAGGATGGAAAAGTATCGTCTTCCATCCTCCCTGCTTCCCAGCTCCTGCCAGCCATTGCAGTGCGGTTGAGCGCATTGCGGCCAGGTGCGTTTAGGGTGTAATTCAAATGAATGGCAATGCAACGCACCTGCTGCACTGTAACACACGGTAGTTGAGTTGCAGGGTAGTGTGCGTTAAAGCACTGCAGTGGTGTGAACAAGCCCTTTAGGGGACAATCGGTGTAAGGGGACACTATGATGGGGACAAGTAATTATTAGTTGTCCTCATCAGAGTAGCCCCTTACATTAATTATGAATGTAAGGGGGCATTCTAGTGGAGACAGCCAATGTAAGGGGGCACTCTGATGGGGACAACTAATTATTGGTTGTCTTCATTGGAATGCCCCCTTACATTAGATGCTACCATCTGAATGCTCCCATACATTAGTTGCCACCATTGGAGGGCCCCCTTACATTAAATAAAAAAATAAGGGGACATTTTGATGGGGACAGCCAATGTAAGGGAGCACTCTGATGGGGACAACCAATGTAAGGGGCGCTCTGATGGGGACAACCAATGTAAGGGGGCACTCTGATGGGGACAACCATTGTAAGGGGGCACTCTGATGGGGACAAGCAATGTAAGGGGGTACTCTGTTGGGCAGAACTGATGCATGGGGGCACTCTGATGGGGATAACTAATTATTAGTTGCCCCCATCAGAGTACCCCCTTACATTGGCTGCCCCATCAGAGTGCCCCCCTTACTTTCATAATTAATGTAAGGGGGCACTTTGATGGGGACAGCCAATGTAAGGGGGCACTCAGATGGGGAACACCAATGTAAGGGGGCGCTGTGATAGGGAGAACTAAATATTACTTGTCCTAATTGGAGTGCCCCTTTACATTGGCTGTCCAATGTAAGTGAGAACACTGATGGCGACAACTAATGTAAGGGGGCACTCTAATGGAGACAACTGATGTAAGGGGACACTCTGATGGGGACACCTAATGTAAAAGGCACTCTCATGGGGAAACCTAATCCAAGGGGGCGGTCTGATGAGGACAACAAATGTGTGGGGGGACTCTAATGTGGAGAATAAATGTAAAGGGGGCACTCTGGAAATAAATAATGTAAGGTGGCACTCTGATGAGGAGAATTGATGTAAGGCGGCACTCTGTTAGGGACAACTGATGTAAGAGGCACTCTGATGGATGCTGTAATGTGGTAGTACCACATTACACTGCATTCTAACAAAAAAAAAGTGAGATGCGCTGGTATCGGTGCATCAGCACTGTGTCTGGGAAAAACCACCAGCAGTTGTGCATTGCAGTGCAGCTGCTGGTGCGAATGCAGCCTAAAAGGCTGAGTGACTGTTCTGTCTGATTCAGACCTCAGCTGGATAAAAAAGTTTGATCACCAGGCCTCCTTGAATTTTAACTAACTACCCCTGGTCTACGAGCTTAAAGAAGGCATACGTAAGGAGCAGGAAGCAGGGGGGTTGGTTGCTTGCCATATGTATGTATTTGTGAAGACACCGCTTACTAGCACACAAAGGGGTGGCTTCATAGGACCCTGAATGGGAATGCAGCCACCCTAATACAGGATATCAGTACCAGTGCTCAGGGGACTAGCTGATTCTACAGAAAGAATAAGCATTTAAACTTCAAGGAGCAGCATCCATTATAAGTGATTTATTTAGCATTTGAAATAGCCTAAAAACCTTCTGAATTTAATATTACTTTAATTTTCCTGCCAACTGCTCTGTTGTCAGTAGCTCAATAGTCTTTTTACAGCATCTCAGAGCCTTAGTGTTAATTCTAAGCCTTGCCACCCTTTCCACATCATATTAAAGCAAGTAGTAGAAGTCAGTAAAAAAAGGAAAAAAAAAAAAAAGAAAACAAGAGTTGTATAGTAGCAATAATAATGGCCATAACAATATTTATTATGACATAATTGTTAGCACACAGGTACTCTATAACCTTAATATGAACTTCTTTAGGTCTCGTTCACACCTAGGCGTATTGCATATTGCCGTCTGTCGGTAAAAAAGTCGCGCGACCGTCGTGCGTTTCCGAAGGCTACTTGGCTGTATCCCAATGGAAACGCCCTACAAAACGGCCCAAAGTAGTACCTGGACCTTTTCAGGCGTGGGACGTTTTGTAGGGCGTTAGGGACGGGCGGAAATACGGCAAGGTGGGAACGAGACCATTGACTACAATGCATTTTATATTTTTGACCGTTTTGTAGAGCGTTCGTCGAGCGTAGAACGTGCTACAAAACGGTCAAATGTGAACGAGGGCTTAGGGCTCAGCTACACCAGTTCCATTGAGCTATATTGATCTGCATAGATCAGCACAGGCTGAACACAAGGGCCCTCTGCCAATCCCTGCACTGGCTTCCAATAGCTCAAAGGATAAAATTCAAAATATTAACAACCACTTACAAAGCCATCCACAACTCTGCCCCGGCTATATCTCCAACCTGGTCTCGAAGTATTACCCTAATCATCCCCTCCGCTCTTCAAAAGACCTCCTGCTTTCCAGCTCCCTCATCAACTCTTCCCATGCTCGCCTCCAGGACTTCACTAGAGCATCTCCCATCCTCTGGAACTCTTTACTCCAACCTGTCCATCTATCTCCCACTCTGACTGCCTTTAAGCGATCCCTTAAGACCCATCTCTTCAAGGAAGCCTATCCCACCTTAACCTGACCACTGAACGATCACTTTCTCAAACAATTCATCCCCACACAGCCACCTCCTCATGCATCACTTCCCCCTCCCTTTTAGATTGTAAGCCCTCACAGGCAGGGCCCTCCTTACCATCTCGTCTTATATTGTAAAGCGCTGCGCAAACTGTTGGCGCTATACACTGAGTGGCCAGATTATTATGACCACGCCATCAGTACTTCGTTGGGCCACGAGATAACTCCACGAGATGACTTTGGTGGGCCGCCTCGTGACTCCACGAGATGTTGAAAGGTGATGCGAGGAATCTGACACTGCACTTTTGCCCTTCTGTTGTCTTGTACCAGTCTTGCCACTCTCCGTTCTGCCCTAACATTGACTAGTCGCTGACGGCCAAAATTTGCACGCTCAGACCCAGATTTTCATCTGACAGTCCAGTCTTTAAACACTTTAATAATGGGCCCCTCTTGAAAATTTTACGAATTCTGCTGTTTTGCTGATACTTGCTCCATTGCTCGCGCCAACAATCATCCCACTTTCAAAGGCTGTTAAATCGCGTTGTTTACCCATATCTTCAGAAAAAATCACTTCTACTGTCGTGGTAAACAACCTGCTTCCCTATTTATAATGGTCTAGCCCTCGAGCAACTTCAGCGCTAAATTATAGCTAATTATAGGTAATTTGCCTACAAACGTCAGGTGGTCATAATAAACTGGCCACTCAGTGTATAAATCCTGTATAAAAATAATAATATAGAAAACAATATGTTTCTATGTGCCCTGTTCACTACATGCATGTATAATAATGTTCATCCCCCACTGCATGTCACACCACCATATTACAACACGCTGCGGTACACAACGTTGAGTGAAATCTCAATTTATGGCACTTCAATAACGTGTAAATAGTGTGGCGCATGATTACACTGTGGGCTCCTGTGAACGAACCCTTAAACTGTGGGTTCTTTTGCAGAAAAGCTGTCAGTATTTAACAGAGGAAATTATCTGTGATTTTTAAAGCCTGCGTAAGACTGCATTAGGCATACAGGGTTAATGTCAGTGCTGGCCAGGATGACCAGAGACACAGAGGGCAATAAATCTATACTACTAAGCCAGCTAAACAGCTATATATTTCTTACTGCATAGTCTGCAGTATCTTTGACCAGCAACAATGGTTCTGAAGTGTCCTGCTGTTCATCTCATATCAGCTCTTCCAGATTGTAAATGTCACAGGGGGTACAGTGTCAACAGCATTTAGTACTGAATTTGTGTTATCTTCCCATAAACACAGAATTGAATTGTTTCAACAGCCCCTCTAATGGGCCCCTTCAACTCCCTGGCCCCATGGCAGCATGAAAAGGTTATTGGTATGCTACTGGCTTCAATCTGAAGCTTCTTGAAAGTTCTGCCTTCAAAGACAAACTATAAACGTCCCCGCTATGCCCTGATGTGAATGGGGCCGTAAAGTTTACCAGTGTTCATTCAAAAACATGCTGTCAGGCTTTACCTTTATTACCATAAAACACACAAAATGCTTACTAATTTACCATCAATCTCAGTAAAAAATATATGGATTTATGCTGTTTTACTTACAAATTGCAGCAGGGTTTCTAATGTTTGGAAGTCCCCATCCAGATTGAAAAAACCTTTTACTTCAGATATAGCCTCTGCAGAACGAAAGGCTACATCAAGTTGATGGTACTCTTTAATCTGCATCACGCGGTTCGAGATCCATGTTTTAGTCTCTCTGTCTCCCAAGCCACACAAGATTTCCAGCTCTTTTTTCAGATTTCCATAATTGTCTTTGAAATCTGCTAAAAACTTGTCCACAACTTCAAAGGTGACTTGTCCAGATTTAAGGTCATTATAAATCTTCTTGCAATTTTCCAAACATGGATTGAAGAGTTTATTGACTATTTCCTCAACCGTCAACACAGTGTCACCTTCACTCTCATTAGAGGGCAGACTATGAGAACGCTTGGCAAGAGCCTTGGCTTGTCTCTCCCAACAAGTGGTAAAGACATGGCTAGTCCTGAACGTGTTCAGGTGTTCAGCCATGGTCATGGAAGGAACACTGAGGTTATAATAAGACAAGCCATGTCCAGTAAATTTATAATGCGAATTAAGTGTCTTCACTGGTAACATATCCATTAGCTTTTGTGATCCCAGTTCTTGTAAATGCTTTGCATGAATTTCAGAAACATTCACTTGGAAAAAAAACATTATTATATTACAGTAAAATGTAAACTGTTGTTGGAAATATGTCACTATAAAAATATAGTAAATGCCTCTGCTGACTTTTTAAAAGGTTGGTACCTGTGAGTCTCTGACATGAAAATAAAGTTTTTAGGCCATACTTATTCTGAACAGTAATTGGCTAGGTAGGGAAGCTAGTATAAGGATAACAGTCCTGAAGCTTGCATCTTTAAAAGAGGTCAACAATGGCTGCATTCATATTTACAGGTTTCCTTTAAGTGCGTCTGTCATGAGCAAATTATATAAAGATTTACGGCAGCGGTCTCAAAGTACACGCTCGTGGGCCAATTGCGGCCCGGGAGCCGGTACTATGTGGCCCGCAGCTAGCTCACAAGTCAGGTACGTGGTCATGGACCGCGTACCTGACTTGCGGGAGCAGCTACACGGTCTGCATCTCTGTCGGATGCAGACCGCAGAGCTGCTCCTGTCAGCCCCAGCACTGAGATCCTTTCGGCTAGAGCTCCATTCTGAGCTCCGGCTAAAAGGATGTATTTGTAAGGTCTGCAGCAGACCATACTAATCAGTGCTGGATCACCAGGGATCTTGCCTCCTCGTCTCCTCCCTGCAAAAAGGTAATCAAGAAAGGGGGCTCTGTATTTTATTTTATATGTGGGTGTGCGGGGGGGAGGGGGTTTTATTATTTCATATGTGGGGGGGAAGTATTTTTTTATGTGTATGGGGGGGGTGTATTATTTTTTATGTGCAGGGGTGGGTTTTTTTATGTGTATAGGGGGGGAGTATATTATTTTATATGTGCATGGGTAGTTTTGCAGGTGTTTACATGCAGCTGCTTGCACCTGATCATTAACTTGAATGGGTTGAACAAGCTGTCACTTGTAAACGCCAGATTAGGCATTCCTGCTGCAGGAAAACAAAAGTTCCTGAAGCATGAATCCCTAATTGCACCTAAACTTACACATATGAATAGGGCCTTATTGTGTGTGTATTGGTGTCCCTAGTACCATACTGGATATAGTTAGATTTTATTTTGAAGTATGAAATTTGGCAAGCAGCCCCCATGGGAGAAAAAAATTTGGCGAGTGGCCCCCGAGTGAAATAAGTTTGAGACCCCTGATTTAAGGTGTAGAACATAGTAATTTGCATTCCTAACAATAAAAAAACAGCAGCTAAAGTCACAGTTTTTAGTGACAACTAGAATCATTGGAATAGTGCCCTAAATCTAATATCAGCAAACATTCATTATAAAAAATTTTTTAAACTGCCATTTCTTATAATGAATTTCCTGTGTATACTTATAACATGCCTTTAGGGGTTTATATAGTATCTACCTACTCAGTAAATATGAAATTTAAGAGGCAGAGTCATGAGCTTCACTGTCTAAAGCATTTGCTTGTTCCTGAACTACCCCAGTGCAGCAGTCTGATTTAACCAGTGATGCTTCAGCTTTTATTCTCTAGAAAATAAAACAAGGAGCGGTCATTACATATAACAGCTTCATTTTTGTAAGCCCTCCTCCTTTATACAGCAGATTAAGGATACAGAGTTAATTATAGCTTATCAACTACATTCACCCATCCAAGGATCCAAACTGGGTAGGATTTTCATGTCAAAATAATTTGTAGAACAATTATATTATGCTATATAAAGTGGAAAAGACGATCTTCTCCACTGCTGATATAATCAAGACAAAATGAGAGCTTTGGTGAAAACTAAGATACTTGTATTACAGGCTATAAAAAGTAAAATAAATCAGGACTGAATACCTTTTATGTACTTATCAACACTCTCGATCATTTTGAAAAGACTGTTCACCCATTCACGCTCCGTTTGTAGTTTGTCTAATTCAGCCTTCCTCCACTTCAACACTAGATTTATTTCACTCAACAAGAGTTTCTCCTCTTTTTTGGTTTCTTCAAAAGAAAAGCAGCCAACACAGATCCATTATAAACACACTGCCTTTAGCTAGTCAAATGAAGTATACAACATTTTGTCTAGTATTAAAGAACTTACTCAGTTTACAAATGGCTACAAACTGTTCCTTGTGCTTTAGAATACTCTCTATATGTTTATAGAGCACCTTTCCATCCATGACATTCCTTACAGCCTCCAGAAATACAGATTCTGAAAGAGCCACCAGTTCTTGGATGTCCACTCCAAACTGTGATATTATTCGGCTATCTGTTCCTGAAATTAAACAAGCGAAATGTTATTAGAAAAAGTGTATTCAATGAGACATCATGACATAGACGTAGGCCCCCATTACTCAAAAGAGTACTTGGGGTGGGCCCTGAAGACATCTTTAGCAGCTATGGAATTTAAAAAAAGACAGAGACACCTGTATAGGCCAGCCCATTCTAAAACAACTTCTTACCAAAAAGTTGCAGAAAATAGGAATGTTATACTTACCGTAAAATAATTTTCTTGAAGTCCACTGAAGGACACAGGAAGTCACTAACTGTTGGATTATACTGCCATCTTCAGGAGGATTGACAATAAAAAAAAAGGTTCACCAAATAATAAGGCCATCAGCACTAGCACAAGCCTTGTGGAGGTGGTGGCTATAAGAAACACCAGCTTATGGGTAAGCGTGGAAAGAGGAGTTTTAAAGGGCAGTTTTTGAAGCGGCAAGAGTATTAGATTGAGATCCAACACTAGGGGACGGAATAGGGTCGTTACATGGGAGACTCTGAACAAATGTCTTAATCAAGAAGTGAGAAGCCAATGGTCTCTGGAACAAGATGGCAAGAGCAGAGACCTGATCTTTGATAGTGCTAAGGGCCAAGTGCTGGTGCAGACATAGAGAAGGCAAAGCATGCCTTCTACGTACAGTGATAGACCTTATGAGAAGTAGAAATGTTATCATGTTGGGAATGATTGATTCAGAAATGCTCCTGTCTGTCAGAACTTGGGCTTTAATAACCATGCCATTAAAGCCAGTAACTGTGAAGCACAGTGGTAAATTGGTCCTTGAGACAGAAGATACAATCTGGAAGAGCCTTCGGAGTGTCTACTAGAAGTCTTATTAGGTTGAAGTACGTTTGCTTGGGCCAAAGCAAAGCTATGAGGATCACCAGAATGCCCTCTATCTCTATCCTGTGAAAGAGATGAGGAAGGAGTTTTAAGGGAGAAAGGCATAGATCAGGGTACTGATCACATGGAGAAACCAGACCATCTATTGCTTCTGCTAGAGGATCCCTGTACCTGGAGACACACCTGTGCAGTTTGCTGTTGAACCTGGAGGCCAGGAGATCCGGCATCCCCCATCTGTGACACAGATCCTGGAACACATCACAGTGTGTTCCATTTCCACACCTGGGATGTAAACATCTCCTAAGGCTGGAACATGAAGTTCTGTACAGAACATGAACCACTCTGACACTCTGTTCTAGGAACAGTCTGCTTAACCACCACATACACTGTGACCTCACCGGAATCAGAATAAGGGTCCCCAAAGTCCAAGTCAGCCAATGCAGGTGCACTGCATGTATTGGTGGTGAGCAGTACCAATGGCCTAACTCCTTCTCCCAAACTCTCTTCCGAAACATTTCCTTCCTCAGACCAACTTCGCCCGACTGCCTCGGCTCCCAAGGACTTAACGGTCAGTGGTTTCCCACTAACCTTTCCCCCTGCAGTTGACACTTGAGCCTGCCCAGGGCTGGTAGACACAGTAGTAGTGGTAGAAGTGACTACAATCTTCCTAGGGGCAACAGGCGTGACAGCATGGAAATTCTGTTTCTGTCTCTATGGCTGGATCCACTTTCCCGTCAACCTTACAGGGTCCTGTCAGCCGCTCTGTCAATCGAGACTCCGTTCCTGTCGCGGACTCCCATATCAGTCGATTCACCATGCCTTTCCGGCGACTGCTAGAAACCGGAGAGTCTCGGTGGTTGGAATAGTGGGTGGTTTAGTTCCCGCAGCCATTAAGGAACTTTTAGTAGCTGGTTCCTTCCTCTCCATTGGAGTGACAACTAAGGATGGTTCAAACCATGTCATCTTCTTCTCCTCCACCATCCGACCTGTGGTGTAGTCTAGTCAGAAGGCTCGCAGTGGCAACGCTGGAGGGACAAACTCCCATAGAAATGCTCCCCGTTAGGCAGTGAGTCTATGGCCGAGGATTCGTGAACAATAGATAGTTATATATCCGCAGGCTTTTAGGTGAATCCCGGTGTTGGGATTCCAATCACCCTCCATAAATCCGGTAACACCATTGTAGATTCCAGCCATCTTCGCTCTTTCTCTGATGCAGATCACAGCAGCAACAGTAGCACGTGTCTCACAACAGCCGTGCCGTTGTTGACTGCGCGCCTTTTATCAGGTCACACAGCATGACCAGTTAGGGTCAAAAGCAGCTAGAAATCTCCTCCCCTCTCATGCTACCAGGCTGCTCCAGCACGTGCACAGATGAGCTCATCTTCACTATAGTCTGTTTTCCCCCTCTCTCGCAGTAAAAACCCCACTCAGTCCAGAAAATGACATTTTCTCAGAAAAAAAGCAAATGTTTCTTGTTCAAAAACAAAGATTATCAGTACAGTCTCTTTAGTTGCTAGGAGCATCCAAAACACAAATATAGTGATTTTGGGCACAAATTCCTTGGTCACTGGATCGGTTGCTATGGGTTCCCGCAGCACAAAAATTCACAGAAATGGCTCAAAAGTGACTAGGATGATCCCGGATGAGCCCCCAAATGTAGCGCTCACCCCTAAAGGAGCCACTAGAATAACCCGTGTCATCACTAGTTGTCTAGGGGTTTGGTCTTCAGCTGCCCCATTAGCATTTAACTGCTCTTCTTTAGTGCCTACATTTATTATGTTTTTTTTTACTTTGTTATAAAGGATTAATGTTGCCCACTAAATTTAAAGTGTAACTTCAGACAAAACTTTTTTTATTTGGAAAGTGTATGGAAGAGATAGAACCCGTGTCAAGTTTTTAATGCTTATTGAGACATCATTGAGGATATTTCCTCTTCCTTCCTGCCCCACTGAAAAGGTAATTACCTAGACAAGAAGCGAGGGAAAATCTCCTATGGTGACAGAACTGATGGGGTTCTAGATTTCCCCTACTTTACTAGCAATAAATGTTATTGCAGTCTGCTCTTGGGGGTTTTCCTTCACTTCTAGCCCTGTGACACTGGGAAGTGAAAGGAACTCTTCCCTCCTAAGGCCATACAGAGCAGTAAGAACTGACACAGGTTCTAATTCTTCTTTACCCAAAAATAAAAAAATATTGTTTTAGCATGAGATACATATTGCTTTGCTATACTTGTTTGCAGTGTTGTTCGCTGTGTGAACAGTTTATAAATACATCCCAAAGTCTAAAGTCTAAAGTAAACTCTACATCTATTTTTAGCATGTGTAAGTCTGTACAGTTTCCTTATTCTTACCAGCAATTTTGCCAGCAATTGCACTTTATGCAGCAGCATTGTCAGCCTCCCTCATTCAGCTGTTGGGCTGTCTATCTGATAGACCTGATATGAAGCCCAATGGCCAAATGAAGGAGCTCACAATCAGGCTGAGAACGCTGCTGCTAATTGCGATGCAGTGGCTTAGCATTGTCAGCCTGTAACAGGAAGTCTTGGTACTGGTAGTATCTGCAGGTAAGAAACTCTGCAATAGATTCATAAACAAATACCGTAGAAGGTGCATGTTCAATTGCTGAAAGATAGGCATTGTTTTCTTCATTTGAATTAGTTTATAGGGGATGCACACTTAGTCCACATTCCCAACAGGCAGAGTCTAAGTCCCTCAGTTTTGCATTTGTCAGCCTGTCCTCCGTTATAATATTCTATGTCAAATTACATTAGTTGCTTATTAAAAGATCTTCTGTTACTATATCAATATTTCTTGCTGGGGACTCCCCAACTACTCACCCACTTGAAACCTCTCACTAACCCCCACCATTTTCACAACAGAACAACCAGTTTTCATCTATCCACCATACATGCATAGGCCGCAATAACTACTTCATTTTTTGAATAGGCTGCACATTTTCCTAGGTTTAGTCTGCCACTTGTCATAATCGTCTCTCTCATACTCACTTTACCTTTTCATACCTGTACCCCCTTGTGTTTCACATGTTACCTATTCTATTTCTCCCCTTTTTCCCACATCATCCACAAACTGAAAAAGGAAAGACAGAAATCACCCGCCAGTTTAATCACAAAAATGTAGATGCTTGTGGGTGCACCCAACCAATCTTTAGACCAAACCATGGCACACAAACATAAACGAAGCTCTCACTGAAATAAAGCAAAGAACAACTCCTGCCATGAAATGTAAAATCTTTTCCCAAACAAAATTCTATTAGAGCACGACAACAGAAATCATTGCATCTAACTTTATCCCTAGAATAAAAGACAGCAATGGGCAGACCCACCGGACAGCAAATGCAGACCAGTTTTACACTTACTACTCTCAAATGTATAACCTGCCACCAAGACATGCTCCTCCTGACAAGAACAAATAATAGTCCCTTTATCATTAGAGAATTCCTCATGAAAAATAACCTACAGTACCTTCCTTAGACTTCTCATACATGCAAAAATTGGAATCCCCATACTGAAGACGACCTCAAAATTGGCTTTATCTCTAATGAAACAAAGCACATGTCCAGACCCTGATGGCTTCACAACCCAATATTTGAAAAACCTTTTTCCTGCTCTTAGCTCCCACCTCCACTTTTGCAGCCAAATTGGGATAACACCTATTTTATATTTGTTAAATGTTCTCATTCACATAACATAAGTTAAAAAAAAAACGAATTTAGAAAATGCTTCTTGCAGGTCAAATTGCTTTTGCTTGGGTTAGGGTTTCTATTTGGTTTCTTAAGGGTTAAAATTTCTACTTGTTTCTTATTTGTAAGTGGCTGTGAGGGGTGAGGGCTTTGTTCATTATCTTCTGTATAGTAGATCTGAAAAATTCCTGTCCTAACCAAGGGTTAAAAGATTACAGTCCTGGCTACTGAATTCAGATGTTAATGACATTATTGAGAGAAACACAATCCTCAAATTTCAGCCCCAAGTCTTTCTATTAGGACAGATCACTGTGAAGGTGCTCAGAAAAACATGGAAGCAGCCGTGTTGCCTGCTGCAACAAAACATGTAAAAAGTAAGAATTATTTTTTTTAATGATTTTTTGTTATGCTGTGTGAATGGGGACACATCACAAACATATAGAAAGGTTTTCTCAAATTTGACTTCAAAAGTGAAAATAGGCTACTTACAGCCTTAAAGTGTATCATCTAACTCACAGCCTCATCTGTCATTCCTCCATTCACCTAGTTACGTAGTAGATATGGTAGGAAAAAAGACACAAGTCCATCCATTCCAACCAATGTGTGTGGGTGCCAGATTAAGTTATCTATTCTAAGAGTGTACCTATCCCTATATATTGTGCTCATCAACTAAGACATCTAGACGTTTTTTGAATTTTGGCAATGCTTCCACTTGATATCTAGAGAAGGGTGTTCCACATTTTTTTTGCTGTGACCTAAAGTAGCCCCTCTGCAATTGCAGATTAAACCTCCTTACCTCTAACTTTTCTTAAACACCTCCTCCTCTAAGGTAAATACATTTAAACTGCTTAATCGTTCCTCATAGCGGAGGCCTTTTAGCACCCTTATTAAAGTGGAAGTAAAGTCAATAAAATAAAAAATCGCTCTGAGCTGCAAATTGTTGGCAGAAGAGATATGCAAAGTCTCTTCTGCCAAAATTATTTTTCGTATGCACTGTATGGTGCATGCGCTATGCAGTGTACACACTTAGCCCATTCATAGGGTCTCTAAGATGCCGTGAATGGGACAGGTGCAGGGGAGGATTTAACACCTGTGCACTTATGCAGGAGTTACATCATGAGGGGCCACGCTATGGTTCAAGATGACTTCGTAAAACACCGGAGGTAGACAGCTGGTGACAGAGCTGAGGCAGAAAGATCGAGCACTAGAGATGGGAAAATTTGTAATGTAAATGTGCCCTAGTTTGCAAGTATGCTGCCTACAGTTTGTCTGCTGCTAAAGGAATCACTAAGATTTGCTCTGATAATTATTACAAAACTGCATTGCCTCATTTAGGAATTAGTCTGAGAGAGGACATGGTAAAGCTATTTGTTAACTGCAGGAAAAGTTATAAATATGCAGCAGTGTTTGCTAAAACCCTTACAACGTATACAGGTCATCTAGGGCAATTTCTAAACAAAAGTGGAGTTATACTTTAAAGGAAAATGTTTGTAAATATAAAAATTGGTAGAAGAAAAAACAGAAAGAGAGGGAATGAAAAGGTAAGATAACCAATTTATATTATCACCAATATATCTCAGATGTAAACAGTTAGGTAGGCCACAACATTTAGGTAATCATGCATCTGGGGAGGTGAAGGGAGGGATAGTTAAAGTCTTGGTGGGGGCAAAAAGGTGCTTTGATTGCAAGTGAGCTGGTCCTTTAACTCCAAAATGTATATTTGTATCCAAGTTACACTTACCGTAAAGTTTAAATATGTATGTTGCATCTGTCCACATTAGCAAGTGCTGTAAAATTGCATCACTCTCTTTAACATAGTTTCCTTGGTTATCCTTTGGCCATGAATTTTCTATAACACTTGACACCAAACGTCCAAAATTTTCCAGATTGTAAGAACTTAACTTGCTAAGAATATTGGTCTCTGACTATATGAAAAGAAAAACGTATATGGCAAAGTTGAGTTTAGTTACTAATCTGTCCTTAAATCTACTCGTGCAAGTCAACAAAAACATATACTGTAAATAATTACCTCCCACAGCTGTTAGGCAACCACTTATATACAGTAATTTAGAAAAATAGTGCTACAACACTAGTTTTAGCTACCAGGCAGTGCGTACATAAAATTAAATTGCTACCCCATGCCCCAGTAGTTTCTTTTTCCAGACTGGTGTCCCTCAATCTACAGCTGTTTATTTTCTTCAAAACTCCTAATTTAACCAATTCAGCAATTTTAACATTGGGGCTTATGAATGAAGCAACATTTTGGACATTACATATGATACAATACAAAAGTCATAAATTTTTTGCACAAACAGGGCTTCCTATTAGCAGCACCATCTTCCAGTATTTATTTTATTTCTATGTCATTTCAAGAAAAAATGTTTTAAAAAAAAAAATAGGGAAAAAAACAGATATAATTTTAAAACAACTAGTGTTGCTCTAGGTACAAAGTAATAATTCATAAAATTATGTTTCTCATATAAATTATGGGTTACTTACAAATTGAACAAAAGCTTTACAAAAAACAAAAACATTTTAAGAATATACACATTGACTTAAAGCAAGCCGGTCAACAATCTCCAAATCCAAATACTGCCCCTGTAAAGTCAATACTTACCTCAGTAGCCTGCGCTACTGAACACCACTCTGATTAAGAGGAATTAAGAGCTGAAGTCTGTGCAAAAATTGACACTTACAGTAGTACTAATCTCTTATGTCACCTGCAGCGCTCAGTAGTTCCTGCTGCCAACTTTCACGCCACTTCTGTGTCCTGTAGTGATGGGATAAACCACTTAATGCAGCAAAGGACAAGATTGCATTCCTGGAAGTGTCAGTTTCTGCAGAAAACTTCAACAGAGGATTTCTCAGGATGGGGTCAACATTTGGCAGCGGGGAGGCAGAAACGTGTAAGTATCCACTTTCTTCTTAAAGCTACATTTATAAGAATTTTTAGTGCTGAGGCAGGGTGGCTTAGAATAAATGGATATATCTTAACAGTCATTCAGCAATGGACATAAGCACACGTTTTGATATAGAGAGAGAGAGTCGCTAAAAAGAACCATCTAAAAGTCTGAACTAGGAATTGATAAGATTGGGAAAACAACATGAACATTGGCAAGAACCAGAACTTCTACTCCTTAGATGTTTTAAAAGTCTAACCTTGCCTATCAGGGATAGCTGTGTGATGTTAGCCTGTATTGGCCTATGTCTACCCAGAACTGACAACTGACACTCTGTCTAGGCTGCTGGGTGGTAAAAACTGTCAATTAACAAAGCTCTTAATTTTCATTTATGTAATAATAACAGCACCTTTGTAATATGATGGTATTTGTAGTGTGTTAGCTGTGAGCTTAGGCAGGAACAGGTACAGGTAGTAAACTGACAGGGAGAAAATACAAGTAAATAAAAAATGTCAAGTAACCCACAAGATTTAAGTTTGAATGTCCCATTAAGACAGCTTTTGCATACTTAACTATCTAACCACACATATCCTTAAGAAATAGACCTTGGTGTGATTTACTTTATAATTTGGTGCACTTTACCTGGCATGCCACATGCACTGCTTTGATTGCACAGTCTTCAAAGCATTTATTAATGGATGGGTGAAGACCTTTAAATGCCTTCTGTTCTTTACAATACAGAGAAATTTGATCAATTGCTTCTTCCTATAATAAAAATAAAAATAGAAACAGTGTATTGGTATAATTTCTATATTTAAAGAATAAAAAGAGGTCTATGGCCAAACCTTTTTTGGCGTTAGTTCTTTTTTGGGTCGCAGGAAAACATTTACTAATGTCCTCCTGTGAAACTTTGCAAATAGCAGGCTATTGCCCACTATATGCAAACAGCCCAGAGCCGCCCTGCAGCAAGGAAAGATCCCGACAATACTGTTGGGCACCACCACCCCATCTGATTGACAGTTGTCTCTGCCTCTGTGCCTGTTACCTCCCCTGCCTGTCCTTCCAGTCAATGCCAGAGGGGGAATCCCTGTGGGGAGTGGTGACTACCAGTCATTGCTCTCTGCAGGTATTCTGACTCAGAATGTTGTTGTAGCGATTTATCCCTTGCTGAGACCCCTATGTCTGGCCTGTATAAGCAGATATAATCACTGCAGACAATCCTTATCAGATAGCTGAACTCACCAAATACCTTTTCATCCATGAGGGCGCTTTATTTGAATGCAGCAGATTACAGCAGACAACAGGATACAGTAGATTAATGAATAGACAGTATATAAAGGTCAGAGATAGTAATGTTTATAAGCATGCAATGCAGATTAACATGTGGTCATGTTACTTAAGGATATAAATGTGATTCTCATTTCACATTAATGTGAATATCAACTAGGACTATGAATTGTCATATTTATACAACTATTGTGACAGCACAGCAGAGAGAGGATTGGGAAGTGAGCAATCAGTGGTTTGTGATCGCTCAGTTCTTGACCTATAGAGCCGATGTGTGACAGGTGCAGTTTTACAGGCCGTCTCTAACTATAGGGATGAGTGTAATTAACTCTCCCTATAGTTCTCCTTTAAAATAAATGGTGGGAATTAAGCTGCTTTTTAATATTCACAACATATGTACTTCAAAAGCAGAACTTCAAGCAGATTTAGCAAAAATAACATTTATTCCAGTTATGTATCCATTATAAATCTATTATAAATGGATACATCAGCATATAAATCAGCATCACATGTGGATGTTACCTAGGACAAGCTGCATGCAAATACACTCTGCCTTGAAACGCCTAATCCTCCACACTGACACCCACCCATCAAGCCATTTTGATTGTTACGTAACTCCTCTCCAGAGCCAGCCCACTGCTTGCATCAGGGTTGAGGGCTCTTGAGAGGAGTAATGAGGCAAGATGCTGTAATGTTTTCAAGAAGCTATGTAAAGCACCCTGCCAGCCCCTCCCACCAGCCATGATCTATCACTATTGTATAGAGAAACACAGAGACGCAGTGAGGATGTCACTGGGTCTAAAATAAGGCATGTAATGAAAATGGAAAGGTTTTATTTAAAAATGTAATTAGCATGTCAGTGAGAGGAGGAGAACCAGGAAAGGCAATTATAACTATGTTAAACTTTAGCTTTAAATGTACCTGTTTAATCTTCCTGACCAAAACAGGGACAAGAGCATTCTTCCACCTCTGAGTTGCATTTTCACCAGCCTTAAGGATGACATGCCACGCCTAGATCAAACAGAGTGTGTTTAAATAATGAAGAAAACATAATAATAAACTACAATTGACACATTTTCTAATATAACATAAGTCTTATCATAAAGCTGTGGGAAACATTGATGCTTTACTGATATCCCCTTTTCTAATAAACACTTTACTTTAGAGCCTTGGTTCTCAACTTGTGGGTTGTGACCCAAAAGTGGGTCGCCGCATGCCTTCCCCTTTTCTATGTAAGAGGCTCCTCTGCCTCCTTCTAGCGCAGCACTGTCAGTTCTCGTGCCCAGCAGCCATTCAAAATATGCTGCACAGCACCCAGTGTCTGCTTGAGGTGGGGCGTGTCCTGTAGGTGGTGCCTGGACCAGAGTGACATCACATTCTGGCTCGCGGCACCTCTACGGGCACGCATGGGAGCTGTACAAGCAATGCACATATGGATGGAGCTTCATTACAGCATAGCAGCCCACAATGGACCCCAGGCTGAGGATCCACTCCAGTTCTGGTACGGTAGGGAGACTGGTTGTACCTTAAAAATAAATCAAAAATTAAATTGAAGGCCCATTTACACTAGTACAGTGCGATAATTGCATAGTACCGTGCGATTAACTCACTGTACCACGCAATCACACCTACCGTGCATTCTGGTGTGGGAGGTGTGTTGCTTTGCCATTCATTTGAATGGTACCCCAAAGGCACCTCCCACCCACAGTTCGTACGCCCACACTGAAATCCGCAGTACCCTAATGCAGTGCGATTTGGGTCACGACTTAATGACAAGGTCAAATGTGGGTCCTGAGGTTACACAGGTCGAGAACCACTGCTTTAGAGATAAGCTCTCATTTTTAACCATAATGCTGTATTAATAATTAGAATTACGACTTATTACCAACATTAGTAAAAAGTAGGGCTGCGGAAATTAATGATTAATCCCTCGATTAATCGTTAATTTTTTTGATCGATCAAAATAATTTTGATCGATCAAAGTTCTTTTGATCCGTACTCACCTCTCCGCCGACTTTACGGATGGGGGGGGAGAAGGCACCTCCCTGAAATGAGAGGGACACCTCCCTGAAATTGCTTATTTCAGGTTGGGATCCCTGGCATTGGCCTATACACATAGAGCACAGCAATGAAGTAATAAAATGAACTAGGATCACACTAGTCCAGCACGTTATTATTCTGAGTTGCCCTACTTAAGCTGCGGCCATATTGAGTGGGGCACGTGAGATTAATAACGTGCTGGGTTAGTGTGATCCTAGTTCATTTTATTACTTAATTGCTGTGCTGTATATGTATAGGCCAATGTAGTTGGATCTGTATGTGCGTTATAATTAATCGAAATTAATCGATTAAAAAAAATGTCTATTAATCGAACAGGAAAAATTTAATCATTACCAGCCCTAGTAAAAATTACTGAAAACTGCTCAACTCCATACCCAATAATCAATCAAATATACAAAAACTTTTACCCAGAGTTCTGAGTGGAAACTACGCTTTCCATATGCATTAAAAGTAAATTTATCTCCATAGACATCTTCCAGCCATTTTTCGGTCGAAAACAATGATTCTTCCAAAACCATCTCCAGATCAGGTACTTGTGAGTTAGATTCTGATGTATTATCTGTTTGTTGTTGCTAAAAGTAGTGAAAACAAAGAATACTTAAGCAAAGCAAGATATGTCTGCAGAACACCAATGTTAAAATGCTAATATTGTCCATTAAATAAATCAGCAATACATCAGGATTAATCTAATGTCTCTAGATCCTAATAATGGAAATATACTGGTCTCTGGACTCTTACTAACAGCAGCAGAGGACTATGGGTAAGAGCACAACACTAGCAACAATAGAGGTGTCTCCTACAGCAAGATATTCATAACTGTTTTGTTTGGCTACCCACAGACATAAGACATTCCATTAGCACACACAAGTTTTACTTCTGATGAATAAAACACTCTTTTTTGCTAAATAAAGTCACGCAACAATTATATATACATATTTCTAGCAACAACTTCACCCTCATACTTCTCCTCTTTGTATTTTTCACAAAAAGGGAATTTTTGCACTGGGGTTGTATTATATATCTGAGTTTAAATCGGCCCTATACATTCCAAGTGGACAGTACACAAAGTATGTACAGTCCTATTTTTTTTTTTTAGGGTAGTGCATTTAAAACCTGAGTAAAAAAATCATGTTTTGTGCCAGCATGCTGTAGAGAAGGACCCTTTACCTCTGTGTAGAAGCAGTGTTCTTTCTGCAGCAGTCCTGTATGACCCCTGCTGAGCCAGAGCTTGCAATATCAGCAGTGAAGATGACATTAGCTGTTTGCAGAGCTATAGGTGTGACTCATCTGGGGACATGCCAGAACACTGCAGAGAGACCACTGCTTCCACACAAAGAGCAATGGTCTTACTTTACAGCACATTGGCCGGCTGTGGCTGCATTTTAAACAAAATAAACTGACTTTGCACATCTTTTGTTTTGGACTGAAAGTTCAGCTGGGCTTTAATGACTTTCTAAGGCAGTATTCTTCAAACATACTAAATATCTGCAGTCTGTACTCACCGGTAAACCTGAGATACGTAACATTGTTAAGATTATTTTGGCTGAAAGAGCTGGGAGTTGCTGTTCAGTCTTCAATGATGGGGTACAGCAGATGATTTTGTGCAGGTCCAGGCTAGCTTTGCAACACATTTGAAATGCATCAGCATTGGGAGGCCTGCAAATGACAAGAAATGAAAAACGAATGATAGAACATTTTAGGAAAGATAGAGAATAAAATATCCCTTATAGCAGTTTAAAAGAATATTAGATGTTTTAGTAAATGAACGTACACATGCCCACTTAGGTTGCTAGGATACAGTATCCCTCAAGCTGTATAACAGAGCTAGCTGAGAGCCATTTACCATTTGCAATCCCTCTCACTAACTTTTCAGGCAGATATGAAAGTCACAAATTCATTTAGTTCTGCATTCATGAATAGATCATTACATGTATTTTTAAATGCAACCAGTGCATTTAGTATAGGGCTCTTGCAATCCCATGTACAGCAGAGATCAGATTAAAAGAGGGAGAAGCAGCATAAGGAGCCAGTCAGGTATGCACCAATGTTCATGTGCTAACAATGAACATGCAGATAGAAGGAAAGGCTAGGGGGAAGGACTAATTTCTAGTATTATTCTTAACGGCATAAGATTAAAATTAGGTATCTTGTGCGGCCTGGGAGGGCTATGTGACAAAGCTGTGCAAATCTCAGGACTGAATGGGCAGAAATACAAATCCTTTGGCAGGTAAAACAACTACTTTAGTTGGATTTTCTTTGTGTGTTTAGCTGTTTGTATAGCGTTCAGCTTTATAGGCATGTCCTTGTGTGGCGGGTATTGCGTGCACGCACGGACGTGCGCATGCCTGTCTCAGTCAGTTGTGCCAGATAAGCTATTTAAGGAGGATTGCTGCAGCTGCATGCTGCTGGAAGATCTTCAGCTACAACCTGCAATCTGTTGTTCCTGTTCCTGCTATTCTGGTTCCGACCTGGCTTTACTCTCGACTCCGCCTGTCTGCTGCCTGTCTTCTGATCCCTGCTTGCCCTGACAACTCTTCCGCATCCCGGAACCGCTTGCCTACAAGGTTCTGACCAAGCTTTCCTGTGACTCTGCAGGCTCCAAGGAGGGTCCTAAGTTGGATGCAGAAACAGGCAACTCAGAGGAAGACCTGCAGGCATCACAAAGTGAACCAGCCAAGAGGTGTTAAGCATTAGATTTCCCAGCAGGAGCATGGCAGCTGGTCCTCTTTTTGTGTCATACATATTGCTAAAATGAACATTTAGCCCCAAAATGGCAGGTAAGGACCCTCAAGGGATAAAATGTAATCACCTACTAACAAACACTACAACCAGGTCAAGCAAGAAGATGGGTGCAGACACATGGGTAGAGACAAGCCATTGACCACAAAACAGGGTACTGGTCAGTCAGTTTGTGTTAATGCTCACTGAGGCTTCAGACAGTTACCACTGAGCAGAACTGGAAATGTTTGCAACAGTATGCAGAGTGATCTGTACAGCAGAAAGTGATCTGTGCTGTAGGGAAGAACATGTAGAGGCCCTTGCAAACATGATGGCTTGAAAACCCAATGTAGAGTGTTTTAGAGCCTCTGGAAACATCATAGTAAAAAACAGAGTTGAAATTAGGGCCTTAGGAGCAATGCAAATTAGGCATTCCCCTGTAAAGCACTTCCCAGGGCACAGTGAGGCAATGAACAGTCTTACCACAGTGAAGTGCTCAGGGCCAGCCTCTGATCTTTGTTCCAGAACTGCTGCAGTAAATGCCCAGATATGTGGCTTCATCATAACACTAAACAGACTGGCGGTTTTAGGCCTCATTCACACTGCTGCGCATACGTGCGTATTGTACCATATGCAACATATGCAAATAAATGGCTCCATACACATAGCTGCGTATGGAGCCGTATATTTGAATAGCGTAAAAATGCGCAAAAACAGCATGGAACCGAGATGCGTCCAAGCAGCGCATTTCTGCGTATTTTACGCGCATTCGCATGTTTGCGCTCATATACGCACATACGTGTTCATTAGATTAGGAATGATGCATTCTGGGAATGCAAATAGGGCACGCGTATATGCACATACGGTCCTATATACGCTCGTATATACGCAATATACAATTTTGCTCGCGTTGTGTGTGAATGAGGCCTTATAGTGGGAAAAAAACACTGAACATGGCATGGCTACTGCAGTGACAAGGAGAGTGCACAACCGTCACAGTGAAGTACCAGATTTTTGCTGATGTGGGATGACACAGAATCCATTACATAGGTTTACAATTAGATGTATACACTATTTGACTGTTTTCAGGGGAAAAGGGGAAAGTAAAATTGATGGGTTAGTGTCAATAACCACATCTCTTAGTCCTGGTTCACACCTAGGCGTATTGCATATGCGCGTCTGTCGTTGTCGTGCGTTTTTTTTACCACGATGCGCGGTAAAAAAATTGCGTGACAAACGTGCGTTTCCGAGGGCTACTTGGCTGTATCCCAATGGAAACGTGCAACAAAAACGGCCCAAAGTAGTACATGTACCTTTTCAGGCGTGGGCCGTTTTGTAGCGCGTTAGGGACGGGCTGAAATACGCCAAGGTGTGAACCAGACCCATTGAAAACAATGGGATTTTCATGTTGGAGCGTTTTGTAGAGCGTTCGTCGAGCGTAGAACGCGCTACAAAACGTTCAGGTGTGAACGAGGGCTTAGTTTATCACTACACCTCTCCTAGGCTGTACCGCTTTATTTTCACATTTCTTCTAATTCCATGTGTCTTTGTGTCTATCTTTTATGTAAAACCCAAAGACCTTGACTACTTTCTCAAAGAGAAGGGCTGACTGCTTGTATCCAGGTACTGCAGAGAGAAATGTTCCCAAAGCAGCTACACTTTACCCACCTCAAAATCCCCATCACCACCACTTCTGGTTGGATAGCTTATTTAGCATGAAATTTAATATACTTACTTGTCCTGTTTTTCCATGAGTTGTATCAGTTTCTTTAAAACACATTCAATTTTCTGCAACAAACAGAGTAAATGGAAAGTAAAAATATACTGACTATTTATCAACAGCAGCTTAAAGAAAGTATAGCTTACAATATGTGCAGACAATTATTAATGATGCACTATACGAAGAAACACCCCAAAAAATGATTACTATGTCAGATGAGTTTTCAGTTATTCACAAAAAAAGATGGAACTCTAGATTCCTGAGCCATGATCCCACTGCTGGTAGATTTCAGCACAAAGCAGCTGGTCTTTGGTTCAGAGGATCCCAAAGCAGGAAAGATAAGTAAGCAAACAAAGGCTGAAGTTTACAGAGGGTTTCTGTTAGGGTTGAGGTTACAAGGTGACCTAAGTCTTAGGATGGAAGTTCAAGGGTGTGTAAGGGTTGTGGTTACAGGGAGGTTTACTGCTTGGCCTGAGGTTACAAAGAGTGTTAGTGTTGGGGTTCAAGTTACAAGACTTAGGGGGTTATTCACTAAAGAGCCGAAGGATACAGCCATAGATTTTGCCAATCCTTTGGCTCACTTCAGCCGCTGGAGCCCTTTGGTTCAGGTGGTGCATTGAATGAGTTAATGTGCAACCTCGCTAGGTCCTCAGGAAGGGGCAGGTTTTTACCATCAGTGTGTGGGCAAATACAGTCTATATAGGTAGATTTAAAATAGTGGTTTTTGCACAACTGTCAGACTTGTTAGATATAGTTTTAGTTCTGACGAAGATGGTTTAACCATTGAAACGCGTTAACCCTCACCTATCCATTGCCTTTGATGATGCTCTGATGTCCAGTCGGCTTAGTGGCATATGACTTTCATTGTATGCAAGAACCTACAAGCTGTGTATACACATGGACTCTTGTGAGTATAAAATTTGCTTTTATATCAATTTTTAATAAAAAGTGCTATCATAAGAAGAGAGGGCGCTGTTCTTGTTTTTTTTTGCATAGATTTCAACACTGTCTATCCTTACAAAAGGTTAAAGGCTTGTGTTCTGCATTGTATGATAATGATGGGAAGCTCACTCTGCCCCCAGCTTGTCCCTCTGAAATGGTTCAGAATAGCATGCAGCCCTGTGTATATGCCTGGTCCAAAGAAACAGCTAGTAAGGTAAAAAACATTATTTTAAATAATATTTTAGGTATGCTCTGTTATTGGGAACGCATAAGAAACATACAGAGGGGATTTCTCAAATTTGACTGAAAAAGTGGAAACACATTGTCAGGTTTACACTGACCTCTCTGTGCCTGTTGTCAGCTCCTTGAAATTTAAAACAGCATGTTCTGAGGGCGCAAACAATTCTTAAAGGAATCACATCTAAAAATTCTTCCATGTGTTTAACTGGTATTAAACACAACCAGGATTGTATTAGTAATGGGTCCACCTGCAGCAAATATTTCTTGGTAACCATCTTTTTAAGAATATCTCTGGCAATAAAAATGAGAGATTAATATTGATTACATGTACCAATGTGAACGAATAGTAAAATGTTTGCAAAAGTTTCAAAAACACTACAAAAATATTAAACATCAGTAAATGTAACTGATTTTATACATATACACACACACACACACACACACACACACACACACACACACACACACACACACATATATATGTGTGTATCACACACAAAAATAGGTAGGTGGCCTGCTGTAGAGTATATAGGGCTGCCAGAGGGTGACCTTCAGGGTTAATGAAAGTTTATCTAATGCAATAACAATCTTTAATTGTGGTGAGGGGTTGGAACCCCAGTATTTATTTTGTTGTTGCAATCTGTATCCCTGTCAGGGACATTTAACATCTCTATTTGTCCTTGTGACTTCTGTCAACAGGGCTGAAAAGGAGGGGACATTTTTCGATAGGGACATTTGTTTTGATGGCAACTTTCTAAAGGTGGCCATACACCTTACAATTATCGTACAATTTATTTTGTCCCGTCATCAAAACCCTCGTTTGATTTCCATTCAAATAGCCCATCATGCACAGATCAATGTTGATTATGATAATCGTTCGTTAGCAATACTAACTCTACGATTTTCATCAATCGATAGAACGGATTTTCGTTTGTGCACGTGCAGTGTTCTTCTTGCTACTTTTTCCATACGAATGCCACCAATCCATTGATTTTCGCTTGATTCGATTAAAGTTTTTCAGCCTGCCCGTTCGAGGAAACTCGGCCAGTTGTACAGTAATTGCGATCTTGCACTTCCTATCTTCCTATCGTGCACTTCCTATTACTATCCTATCACTGGCCGATTACTGTTCGTTAACGCGATTGCGTTCGTTTTTTCGAACGATAATTGTAACGTGTATGGGCACCTTAACAGAGCCTTTCTCCAGTAAAGGGAAATCTCTCATTTGGCACAGATGGCACAAAAAACTTGAGAGGAAATAAACAATCACGGTTGTGCAATTTTCTTTTATGCAGGTAAAATTTATAAAAACCATTGCTTGTAAATATGAAAATGTATATATTTTGTTCAAGACATCCCATGTGACTTCTAAATCCTCCCCATAGGGCATTAGAACATAATTTCGCAATGTGAGACTTTGGGTTTAAACCAATATAAATGAAGAAACAGTTAAACATTTATTTTTCTGGAAAAATTAAGCAAAGAGTTTGATAGGCTGGTAAGGGCAACTCAAATGTTTTCCTTTCTCTTGTTCTAGTTTTTATGAAAAAAAATCCCTTTGTCTTTCAGCGGCTCTGTGTGTAAAAAAATTAAAGGAACTTGGCTAAGGGGAGCTAGGGACACTTTTGCATAGTGATAGGGTATACAGTACCGGTGTAGTAGGTAGGGTTGCAACCTGTCCAGGATTTACCCGGACAGTCCAGGTTTTGAATGGTGTGTCCGGGTTTCATGGCAGCTGAAACCCGGACAACTGATGTCAGGCAGACAGGGCAACCAAAATTAAGATAGGGGCTACTAAAAATAGTCTCGACTGTGATATTTATGTACATACGCTATGTACATATGAATCATTCTCCCCAAAACATTTCCGTGCATTGCTAGAGTGTTCGGGTTTCGCTGGAAGAAAAGGTGGCAGCCCTAGTAGAAGTGTGAAAACATCCCTTTAATGGGAGATGAAAACAACTAGTATTTTAGTCAGCTGTTAATTAGCTTTGTCCACTGCTAGAAAAGGCAAATTGCATAGCAATGCAACATAGTTACCTTTCACTTTTTTTTATTTTATCATAATCAAGGCCTTCCAGACCTGCCCATATATCTTCTTGCTTGTCTCCTTCTGCTTTACGGAACGTGTCTGGATTAGATGCAGCAGAAAATTCATGAAACACAGGTAGGATCCACACCCATTCATCAATACTGGCATCTATACATTTCTGGCAAAATGCCCTTAAATGGATATCCATCCTGTAACAGAAGCAAACAGAAACGCCTTTAGCTTAAAGTACATCTAAATTCAAGAGCAAACAAATAATATCTCGCAACTTAATGGTCATTAATTGTGATGCCTGCATTGGTTTCTTAACTTTGTTAACTTTGGATGGAGGGGGAAGGATCAGAACCCCTGTCTGTTTTTTTTACTGCTACCTGAGGTTGAGATTTGCTTTCTGTCCTGCTGACAATGGCTTCACCTGACAGTAAGTGAGAGAACATCTGCAAATGGTGCAGACACAGTAATACAAATCAGAGAGGTTCTTTCCCTTTCCATTTCTATAAGATAGTTTTAATTTCTGCTGCTGGAGAGCTTCACTCACTTCCTCTCTGGTAAAATAAATTGTCTGCAGAAGGAGAAGTGAGGGAACATTGCCAAATGCTGGCACACAGCAGTATAAACCTGTTACGGGTTCTAACCATTCCCCAATCCATTCAAACCTAAAAAATGCACTTCGTTTACTGTACATTATCAGGCTAAATTCCTTTTCTGTAGTACAGAAAAACACCTGTTGATCCTGCCAAAAATTTTGCATGAACTGAACCGAAATCTCATACAATGTAATCAGTTTTCTCAGCTATCTCTGTAAACAACAAAGCAACACCCATCTACATAATGGGGATGAGGAGAGAGGGAGGTGTTTGCAGGGCAGGCTAAAAGGCTGCTCCTCTATAGATACAACGCAGTGAGTTAGTGTTGTCACAGGATAAGAAGTGGATTACTGGCAGAATCACCACGGATAAAAAGAAAAAAAAACAACTGAAAAAAGAAAACTAAAACAGGATAAAATTCAAAATATTAACAGTCACTCATAAAGCCTTCCACAACTCTGCCCCCGGATATATCTCAAATCTTGTCTCAAAGTATCACCCTAATCGTCCCCTCAGCTCTTCCCAAGACCCCCTGCTTTCCAGCTCCCTTGTGAACTCCTCCCATACTTGCCTCCAGGACTTCTCTAGAGTCTCTCCCATCCTCTGGAACTCTTTACCCCAACCTGTCCGACTATCTCCCACCTTGACTGCCTTTAGGCGTTCCTTAAAGACTCATCTCTTCAGGGAAGCCTATCCCACCTCAACCTAACCACTGAACCATCACGTTCTCAAACAATTCATCCCCACACAGCTACCTCCTCATGTATCACTCCCCCCTCCCCTTTTAGATTGTAAGCTCTCACGGGCAGGGCCCTCCTTACCATCTTGTCTTGAATTGTATTGTGATTGTAATGTCTTCCTTATATTGTAAAGCCCTGCTCAAAATGTTGGTGCTATATAAATACTATGTAATAATAATAAAGCAACCTCCTCATCCACAGTTTGTTGAAACATATGACATTTACACTAACATTTTATTTCACTCCTTGTATTTTGTGAACTATAACTCCCAAAATAAACTGAAATCCCAGAAATATGATATACCCTATAAATCAGGACAAATAAAATAATTTATTATGAATTACTTTCTGTTAGCTACACTAACTATGTACACATTATCATTGCCAAAACTGTACAAAATGTGGGTTTTTTTGTGCATTTTTGTTTACATTTTAGGGGGGGTTTAATAAAGATAATTAAGAGTTTATATATCCATATGATACATCAAATTAAAGCCAATTTTCTACTT